GTTGTGCTTAGGAATACGTTAGTTACAACTGTAGTTCCAAAGTAAAGGTCTGTTTGACAGCAGATAAATGGGGGAAAATTTTCCAAATAAATTTTTTAACGTGGCTAAAATCACGATTTTTCTGCTGACCCTGTACACAAAGCTTCACTCCACACGCCCCTCCCTTTTGTCCATAAATATACATACATAGATTAGCTGGGAGTTAGGGGCGGGGTCAGACACTGCCAAGATGGCAAAGATGGAGCAGCTCACTCTGAGCTTCAAAACCACTCTTCAGAAACCCATGGGTGACGCCACAGAGACTACATCCATCTTTATCTTTAGTCTATAGTAACACACTGACTATAGATCAGTGCCTCACACAACACCATGTCTAATAACATGAAGTGTCACTTTAATACATCCATGGATCCCACCAGTTAGAAACAATTTTAGATGTTTGCATTTTACTTCTGGAATTTGCTGAACATTTTCAGAAATATTTTCAGAAAAACAACTGTGACTGATCATGTGACGACTGCTGTTTTATATCGGGGAAGCTGCATTAGCTACACATAAATATAGAGGATTAGTTGTGGGAAAATTTAAGGGACAGTCATGTTACTTTTGTTTCACAGCTAAATGTTATTGGCTAAACACATAAAGCTGCTTAATATAATACATGCCACATCACTGTCCTGGAGTTTTCTCTCTGTGTAGAATAAGGTGACCAGATTTCTGAAATGAAAACTGGGGATAATTCCAGTTTAGCTGTCAATATATTAAAATATCCAAGGTTTTTAACTATAAATAAAAAAGGGGGGACAGTCCCGGTTTCATGTATTTTGACTGTGGTAACTGTACTGTGATAAACTATGGTGACTGATAAAATGACAACTCCCTTCCTTTGAAGCAGTGAAGTCCTATTGTTTAGTTCCTCAATTATTTGTATCCCTTGGTTCGTAAGAGTCAACAGATCAAAAGAATCAAAAGCATTTTTCATAAAAGGTCATGAATATTGTCACTACATAAAAATTATTTTTTCAAGTTACGGCTGAGGGGCTTTGGGTGCGTTTGTTTTCATTATTCTATCGTTTTACCGCCTGGTGATGGACTGACCTTTTCTCTGCCCAGAGACAACAAAAAATAAAAATCTGATTTGATAACTCTATTTTGATGGTTTTAGCTTCACTTCTGAAGCTGCTATCGCTAGCAGACAGCTCCCTCTGTTGGCCAAAACAAGCAAAGTGCTAGACATCTGTTTTAAATTGACAATTAAAAATCTGGACATTTCCTGGGACAGCTCCAGCAAAACGGAAAATGGGGACATCTGGTCAGCCTTGTATAGAATGATTCTGTTTTTGCAGAAAAAAAACCTAGACGTTGGTGAAGGCGGAAAAGACCCTGTGACTGATCTTTATTACAATTCTCAGAGATGTCTGGACTGTGAATGTTCTTTAGTTTTTTTTTGTTTTTCATTTTACTCTACTTGATTGAAACCACACAGAACCATCATGTGCATTTAAACATCAATAAAGAAACAACAGCCTCATTTTTCTAAGTTTAGAAAAGAAGTCTTGTTAAGAAACAGGTCAGAGTGTCTGAATATCTACGCTGCAAAAATGTTTTTTTGTTGTTTTTTTTGCTCAGTTTGTTGAGTTAAGCCCGCACCAAGGAGTGGGGAGAATACACAAAGAGTCAGTTGAAATATCAGCATATCAGAAATTCATTAAGAACATACGCAAAGATAATCATTTAATCATTTCCATAGATGACACTTGGATCACTCTCAGTAACGGGTTGAAACAGTGACGCTGTAAAACTCTTTTTTTTTGCGTTGTTTCATTTACATCATGTGACATTTCTGAGTCCGTAGCCCTGACAGAATGTGTATCAGTGTGTTTAAGGCCTCTACTTACATTACAATTGATAGTAGTAGATACATCATTAACATCCATGTGGCAGACACAGTCAAAATAAAAAAGGGGGGGTGGGGTGGGTAAAAACAGACTGTGGTTCATTTGTTTCCCTCCAAAGACACAAAACGTCACAAACAAACTCAGACGATGAACAAGAAGCTTTGATGAACAAAATCACACAATTTAAAGGAGCTATTTGTAAGTTTTGCTATTGCTACATAGCTAACGTTAGCATTAACAGCTGTTTACTTACCAGTTTTGCCAACGTTCTGACCAGGCCAGAGCTAGCTGGTTAGCATGCTAACTTCAGTATAAGAAAAGATGTGATAGAGACAAGAGTAACATTGGGATTTGTTTCCGCCACTGCTAATGCTAATTTTAGCTATGTAGCAATAGCAAAAACTTACATATAGCACCTTTAATAAACAAACATTAACTGCTCTTCATCCTGAAATATATTGTCCCTCTCTCTGCGACGATTAGAGAAGAAAGTGTTCCCGTGTGGGTCACCTGTATGCATGTTCACACACCTGTAGCCATCACAGATGACCCATCATTCACTGCATGCACGCCACGCTGTCGCCATGTTGCCAATTAGCTGTTAAACATGGATTAAGATGACTCATGTTGAACAGGCAGCTGATGTAGAAACCGCTATGATGGTTACATCTATAACTCTGACCTACATGCACTAAATCCAGATCATACTGTTGTTTTACCCAGAATGCATTCTGCTTACGGGTCACCGAAAAAAGAAAATGTAACGCCACGTGTGTAAACGTTCCTCTCTCATTGGTCCTCAGGTGAGAAATCAGCCCTAAAATATGTTTGAGTTTTGGCAAAAAAAGAACACGGACAAAGACACATTCCTCTCGTCACAGTTAAACTACTTCAATCATTTTAGATATATATTTATATTTATATATGTATATATTGTTCTAATATCACCTTTTATTCATTCTGTTTATAAAAAAACACTTTGTTCTAACTACCATTCATTAGTCATTAGATTAAAATCCATGCTACTCATTGGCTGTGTCACAATTCAGGGGACGCATCCTTCACAGGACGCGGTCTACGAAAGCGTGACCCTGCGTAGACCGCAAAGACTGAACCGAAATGAGACGGTATGGTCTACGGAGGATTTTCTCTTTGTGTGACCAGCTGTTCCTGCCCTTACAGTTGAGTAGCAGAGTGCGGCTCCTGTTGCCTAGCAACCTTCACAACTTGTTACTTTGTTTCACAATAGCTTGAGATTTTAAGGTCCTTGGTTTTAACAGTTGTACTGCAAACTGTCGAACTGAGCTGAAACACAATACTTTGATTTTCATTACCGTGATGCAATGAATCTTGGGATAGGTTCCAAGAAAAGAAGGACACATTCGAAGGAGCCTTTGAAATGGGACAGTGTAGTCGCGCTGCTTTGACGCGGTCAGTCTTCAGATTCAGCCTCTGAACTGGGACACAGCTAAAATAAATTTCTGTTGTGAAAAATTATCATGCATTTTTCAAATCAGAAATTCTGATGTTTCATGGGGTGATACATTTCACAGAAATCCTCAGAAACGACATGATGCTCTCCCTGGAATAATAAAAAAAACAAAACATGAACGCGCTGCAGTTAAATGGCGTGAACAAGTGGTTTTCAGGTCATGTGATCAGACCTTCAGAGTTATTTTCTTTTTCTTATTTTTTAATTCAGAATAAACCTGCTGCCTTACATTTTTTTCTGCCACAAGATTATTTAAAGCTCCTCCAGTGTAAAGGTCTGTGTCCATGTGTAGTGTGATTATAGATCAGCTCTAGCTTCTATATTAATACTGTGAAAGTATCAAAGCCTCAGTCCACAGAGAAATGCACACAGCCTGTATTCAGAAACTGAGCCTTAAAACCAGCCGTCAGGACTTCTGGAACTTTGTGATGTCACAACAAAGCAGTCACCAAGCCCCGCCCACCTGGACCCACCATCCAAACCTTGCAGGATTTGGTTTCTCTGAGTGTTTTTACCTGAAATCTGCTTTATTTTTATTGGATCACTCAGATCTCTCAGAAGCCTGAGAGAGGAGATGTAAAACTACACGGAGATGGTTTAAATTTATCGTCTTTTGAATATGGATATTTTATTATATAGAAAATATGGAACTTTAAAAAGTCTCGTCAGATCTGATTGACATGAAAACCACTGACCAAACTCGTCATTTTACACAGTTTTCACTGAGCAACTAAAGAAAACTGCAATGACTGGATGTTTGTTTGATTATTGCTTTACAGAATGTGGCTAATTTGTTTGGAAATAGATAATATTATTAACATCCCTGCAACACTGCTACTGGAAAAACAGAGGCCACTTTTTCAAAGTTTTTTTCTTCTCAGAGTAAAATTACTCCGAATCCATGGTTTAGTTAAAACATTAGTGGATTAGTCTGAGTACGAGAAACTCGATTTTGATCTGAAATCTTCCTAGACGTTAAAAAACAAAATTTCATTTGCAAAAAAATTTGATATTTTTTTCCTTATTTTTTTATTTTTATTTTTTACAGATTTCAGTTTTTGTCTGTGAAAGAGAAAAAAAGCCCCAAATGAAACTGAGTCAGTCTCTTTAGTAAAAATCTGAATTAAACTGCTACATGTGTTTTCCTCCGGCTGCGTTTCCTCTCTCCTCTCTCTGTGTAGCGTTCAGCTCATGCTAAGTCTTATCGAGTTGTCTGCTAATCAGTTAGAAGGTTTAATCAGTCATGCAGATGCTACCAGCTAATGCTACAATCTTACGCTAACTAGCGAGGATATCCCGTCCCTTTAACGTGAATCAGCTAAGTCGTTATAGATGAACTTTGGCTCACTCCGAAAGACACGAACAGCCGTTAATATTTACACATTAAAAAAAGACATTAAGAATCATAAAGTGCCCAAATGAAACACATGAACTTCTGCTCTATAATAAACTATAAATGTCTCTACAGTGTGCACGTTGTGTTCCCTTTAAATTCATCCTTTCTGAAACCTCACATCTGTCCAGAACAGATCCTTTGTTTGGATGAGGAACATTTCATGCTTCCTCCCTCCCTCCCTGCCTCTCTCCCTCCTCCCCTCCCCCCTCCACGCTGTAGCATGGCTAATCACCAGGTGCCTCCTCGGTCTGTGGATTAGGGCTGTAATTTAGAATAAAAGTGACGCTTCTGTGCGCAGCCTGAATGCTGCTGTCGAGATGGTGTGAGCGGGTTGTTTCTGTTTCCTCCCTCACGTGCCGTGAGGTGACTGAGGAAGAGGAAGGAGAAGACACTTGCTGGTAGAAATTGGCACAGTAGAAACTGTTCTCAGATAACCGTTAGCCAAAACTTTAAAAACAAAAACAAAAAGGAGAGGAGGAATCTTAAAAATCTACTTCTAGAGTCTGAGCTCACTACAGATACACTGGGATTTACAGCAGGTTTTCAGCCCTACACTGTCAGCACTGTGTCAGAATCGTGTGTCAGAGTGTGGAAACTGAACTGAATCAAAGGAAATGACCCCGTTCAGACCAGGCTGGTTCTGCCTGTTGAATCTGGATCGTATCCTGATCAGGTTTTAACCACGTTTCATCTGTTTTTAATTCTAAATGCAAATCTAATCAAATATTATATGTTGTGGTGTCGGCAGGCCGAGAGGAACATCCTCCCCTCCCCATGAGAGAAACCAGAGCCTCTACATCTGCATGGTTCCCTCTGTGTTAGCATGTGGGGGCAGAGGAGGCGGAGACACAAAACACCTTAAGTTTTCTCCTTAAGTCTGACACTTAAGGTTAAATTTCTCCTCAGCTGAGGGGGTTACTTAAGGGTGTTACACAGAATCTCTTCAAAGGTTTCCTTAGTTAATGAAAAAAGTTAAGGTAATTTGCAGCAATGAAAGACATTTTACAGCGGTAAAATCCTACTGTTGCCATGGAGACCATTGATTTGCTGCCATTAGAACTTGTGATATCTGTGATCACTTTTGGGAAGCTGGTGACGGGAACTTCACCAGGTGAACTTTAGTCTCTAAGGTATTTTGTGCAACAGTTCAACTGACTTTAAGTGATTCCTTAAGTTTAAGACTAAGATCAGGAGAAAACCGTAAATATTTAAGGGAACATTTTAAGGTAACCTTAAGGAGAAAACTTAAGGGTGTTTTTGCAACTGTTTTTATTTTAAGGAAATCTTAATTCAGACTTTAAGGAAAATCTTAACTTAAGGTGTTTTGTGCAACTGGCGCCAGGATCTGAGTTCAGGTCTCACTCCGGTCGACTTCCGGTGTGTCAGCTGGGTGTCGGGACTGGTGGGTTGTAGCAGTCTCCATAGCAACCCCCTCCACGCTCCATCGCTGTCCTTAACTTGAGTCAAGGTATGACTGTTGGACCTGGCACCTCCTCAGTGGTTAACCCGGTCAACGTCCTCCTCAGCTGCTTCCTGTCTGTCCGCCTCCTTCCACCAGACCCACCAGAGCTGAACTGAGATCCCACAGACTGAAGCCCGTGTTCTCCACAGCCCGTCGGTCCTGTTTGTTGTGTTCCCGTCAACGAGCTTTACTCAGGAGGACAGAGATTTGACTAGCTAGCAGGGCTGGTCCGACAGCCGCCATGTTGTTTACAAAACTGGGAGAAGACCTTGAAGTAGACCCAGAACTCGCTGAAGGGATTACAAATCCCATCTGGTCTGTGAACACCTCGGGATCCTCCAGGCGGAGCTGGAAAGCCACTGTGACCCCACCCCTGGATAACCAGAAGAAAATGGACGGGTGGAGATAAAATATCTCATGCATAACATCCAATTTAGTTTGCACTTTAATCCCAGAACCACCTCCTGAAGTGACTGACATAATCTGTAAATATCTATTCCAGAGTCCAGAAACCAGCAGGTAAAATGTGGCTGCAGGTTTTCATTCCGACTAATCACAGCACCAGCTGATTCCACTTAGCCCCTCCCACAAAAGATGACACTCAGCTGATACTTTGATCGATTGCAATGAAAATGTTCAAACCCTTTGATCGTAACGGTACGTGGTCTTCGAGAATTCAGAACGTGCTTTTACCAAGACCTAGACCTGGCTGCAGAACTCTGGATCCCATTGATCCGGTTCAGATCTAGATCCTTCCAGACGATGAAGGAGGATTTGATTCATGTCACATGACTGCTACTGAAGGTCAAATGTGTGACACAGGAAACAAAAACAACTCAGGTCAGTGTTGGAAACATTCTGTCATCTTTCTCTTCAGTCCTCTTCAGATCCTGCCCCCCCCCCCACCTGGAGACCAGAGTCTCAGACGACCTGAAGACAGTCCCACCTTCTCTCCGGACACGTGGACACCCAGGGTGATCTGTCCGGTCCCTTCATGAGGACACAGACAGACAGACAAGCGTTCCTGGAAGTGAGAATTGAAAGTGAAGCGAAGCTGAGGCCGCAGTGCATCATGGTCCCAGGAGGATGTGATCAATGTCTGTTTGAAGTATCCTCATTAAGGAGGGTTTTGTTTTTTCATCAAAGAGATCTGAAGAGAGCAAAGTGTTCCTGTGCGTGGGAGGGGCTGCAACAACAAAAGAAACGTGTTTCCCATGAGTCCTCGGGAAACAGTCTGATACGACATCAAAAGAAACAGTAGATTTCCAATGAGAGCCAGAACTACCTACTGATTTGTAAAATAATTTCCCGATCAGGGGAGTGATTCGTTCCCCGGTGTGGTTGGACCTGTCGAAGTGATTCTTAACGACTACCCGCTCCAGAGGCGGCGCCGCCCGGCTGACCCGGGGCACAAGGTTACAGGGCATATAAAAAGAGACGGCAACGAAATCTTAGTCGCAACAACAACAGATTTAAGTGTTGACGTGAGTCTTAGGAGCGCTCACAGCAGGGCCCGATGGTGCTCTCCAGGGACATCTGGGACGAGTGGCGGATCAGCGGCGCCATCGTCGGGTCCACCATGGAGGAGGTAGGAAAGAGCTTGTACCAGCCAATCACCATCGTGCTGAGGTCCAGCTCCTCCAACAGGATTCGGGCCACGCCCATGAAGCATTTGCGGTCCATCCGTCCGTAGTTGCCCCAAACAATCACCTGTGGAAAAGACAATTATTTGTTTAGAATAGATAAATACATAAACGCAGAGCTCATCGACATGACAGAGGAAGCATAAGGCGTCTTTGAATAAGAAAACATCTTCAGATATGGAAATGCAAAGATAAGTGACGATGTAATAACCTTCAAAACTGTCACCTTACTCCAACCACACATTAGAAGAATTTCAAAAGACCAAAGTATGAGCCAGACGTTGTAAATAATTGAGGCTGAGCCCAAACTTAAGATGAAACCGTCGTGTGTGAAGGATCTGCTAGCTGCCGGGCGACCTGTAGATGGCGATCTTTCCCCAGTAGCTCAAAGAGCTCCACTGATTGGCTGGTCCAGATAGAGTGAGAGGAAACGACCCATGGCTGGAGCTCTATAAGCCACGCCCCTTTGCCCTCACTCCGCCTATGCTGACCTTCTCTCACATCTAAAGAGTTTTTAGTCTCACACTTTGAGATTATTTCCCATCATGCTCCAGGTGGAAAAACTGTTTTGTCAGACTTTTCTGCTCTTTGAAATTCTACATTATTATTATTATTATTATTATTATTAATAATATATAAAATCAGGAACTCAACATATCAACAACTCAACTATATTTGTCATGATTTGCCCCTAAAATGACTGTTTGGACTTTGTATTTATGATTTCCTGTTTTATTTTGAAATTATTTTTCTTGCCAAACAATCGAGATAACTGGAGCGTCCCGCAGCTCGAATAAAACTCGTCGTTTGATGTGAGGACGACATAAATATATTTGAGAATCTCAAATGCTGAAAAATCGGTGCCCACTGAACACATGAACGACTGAACATTCACGTACCTGCCTGGTAAACACCTGAGTCCATGCTCCAGTTTGTGAGATGATGTCATCTGGGTTACTTTCTCAGACTTGAGAAAGTTCCCTTCATACACCTGTTTTCACCACAAGCTTTACTGTTCTTACTGTTATTGACTACGGACTGTCTTTGATGTGATGTGATGTGATGTGATTTGATTTGATTTGATTTGATTTGATTTGATTTGATTTGACAGGTAAACTGCCCCTTTAACACTGGAGCATCACTTCCTGTTTCCCTCAGGTTACAGGCAACTCAAACACCTGGTTAAGTTTGGAAAAAATTGTGGTTTTAGTAAATATATAGTAATATGATTAAACTGTGTCAACACATGCTTCAGGTTAGCACTGACTCGACGTGATATTTACCCTCTGACCTGTGGACCAGCATCCTTAGCGCCACGCTGCTAACGTGGCTAAAAGCATCACACTTCCTGCAGAACATCATGCACTGCGCTTCACTCTGCTTCAGTTGGATTTTCCTTTTGTACTTTACTGCAGGAAAATAAAGTTTTCTGTCAGTTTTAATTAAAAGTCTCATAATGAGCTGCCTGATGAAACTGCAGTAAATATTTCACTTTCTCTTTCTAACTCAATTTGGCCAAAAATTAAAAAAACAACCCGAATCCTCGGGGACATCAGCAAACCTGCAGTGTTCACTGACGACGGTTTAAACAGGCTTCCACTCTCAGTCTGTGCTCATATTAAAACTATATATTATATAAGTTCAGCCTGCAGGGAGACCTCAGAGTTTCCTGAAACGTGGCTTCAAAGAGCCTTGAATCCCGCACACAAAGCATTCTGGGAGTAACGGAGGAGCAGACAGATCAGCTGGCGAAGTGATGAGGTTAAGAGGGCGGGGTTAATTAGCTTTAATCCAGATGGTTTGGAAATCTGTTGATAGTTTCTCTATCAGATGGATGGATGGAAGACTAAATCGTAATTGAAAATAAAATTAGATTAATCCCCCAGCGCTCCTGTGTGTGTGTGTGTGTGTGTGTGTGTGTGTGTGTGTGTGTGTGTGTGTGTGTGTGTGTGTGTGTGTGTGTGTGTGTGTGTTCGTCAAGTTTCCCTCCTCTCAGACGGACCGACATCTTGTCAAGCGACGGACAAAATAATCAATATCCGTCTGCATACGTGTGTGTGTGATTGTGCTGGTGATTTCCACAGAGACTTGGAGGAAAAACCTGCTTCAATCTATTTCCCTCCATCTTTGACGGAGAATCGACGTCTCTGTCGAGTCCTGACCTCGACCACAACAACGCAGGAGAGGGAGACATGTGGAGGAGGAGACATGGACGTGGAGGACGGGAGGAAGAAGTGGTGGAGAGTGACGTATGGAGGAGGAAACATGCAGAGTCCTGGATCCTGGACTGATCCAGTCTCTGGGAACAGGAACAAACACAAACACACTGCAGGAGCTGATGGACGCAGACAAAGGGATTTAATTACAGAAACACAGCATGTTGCAGTGAAGTGAGGAGCAGTGGGCGCACCGTGACACCAGCAAGTGGGACAGAAAATTCATCTGCTAAATATAAAGCGGGATCCTTCGGTGTACATGTGCATCTAATGAAGGGAATCTTAAAGGTTCTGTACACGAAATTTTTAACAGTAATACAGCAGTAAACAACTGTTTTTTATGTGAAGATATAGAGGAGTAATGGCGTCCTGAGCAGAGAACGAAGCCACGCCCCCTTTGTGTGTGATGTAATCTGAGTTTCTCTGGTCTTCGTTTTTGGTAGCCGGTCAGGTTGAGTATACTAGTGCATGTATGTGGACCCAGGCTTTCGTCTATAAAGGGATACGTTTTTTTCCAGCTCCATCAGTGTCATTGGTGCAGCCGGTCCCAGTGGATCAGTCCATGTCTGAATTTCTTTCCCAGTCCGACCGTGGAGCCGATACCGGTCTGGTTTACTGAGAGGAGAACCCTACGAGCTGCTAAAAGCTCCAGTTGAACTCAGAACTGTTTTTTCTTCTCCTCCATGTGTCAGTAACTTGATGCTACATGATGCCACATGTCTGTTTTCATTAGCGATGGCTACAGTAGACATGCTAACGTTAGCTAACTTGCTGTTACCCATATTGTGAATACGTTCAGTAAATGTTGCTATCGCTACTTAGCTAACAGTCAACATTGCTGTGGAGCATATCTTCCGCTCCCAATCAAATCAAAGTATAGGTATAACCATTGGCCAATTGTCACTGTTTTACCCTTTTTCATAGGATTGGACATAACCAGGAAGAAAACAGAAAAGCAGTTGAAGGAAACAAACTATGAAATTCAAAATTAAAAGTACATCTTCATAAAAACCAGGAAAATTCTTGTCCTGGGAAATAATATAAATTTTCTGGGACAAGTCGCTGAAAAAAAGAGAACAATCCGAGCAAAACCAGGACGAGTGGCAACAGTAATGCCCCCCCTCTAAATAAACTCTATGATAATGTAGGAAATGTAAAAAAGAAAAATATTCTAAATGTTATGAGCTAATTTTCTGTCACGTACTTTTTGTGTCACAGGCTGTGTCCTGTGTAAATAATAACAATAGGAAAACAACCTGTCAGATCTTTAGTATCTGGACACACAGGACAAGTCGACAAAACAAACACACAACAGAATCAAAGCAGGAGATCAGAGAGGAAGTGATGAAAGGACGGGAGCAGAGGAGGAGGAGAGGAGAAAGACGGACAGCCGATAATTAAAAAAGAGGCATTAGCAGCTAATTACGCTGCAGTGACGGGAGCAGCAGCAGAGCATTCTGGGAACATTCACTGAACACACAGCAGCTCAGAGGTACAAACTTCAGAGCCCACTGACCTGACCTCAGTTAACCCCTGACCCTGCAGCATGTGTCAGACACTCAGTACAGACATGATAACAGGAAGAAAGACGAAAACTTCAAAATAAGAAAATCCCTATTTCAGACACTGATACAACAGTTACACTGATTTAACAATCTTGGCTGGTTTCAGCTTTTCTACTTCACACATTAAAGCTCCTCCAGTGTAAAGGTCTGTGTCCATGTGTAGTGTGATTATAGATCAGGTCTAGCTTCTATATTAATACTGTGAAAGTATCAAAGCCTCAGTCCACAGAGAAATGCACACAGCCTGTATTCAGAAACTGAGCCTTAAAACCAGCCGTCAGGACTTCTGGAACTTTGTGATGTCACAACAAAGCAGTCACCAAGCCCCGCCCACCTGGACCCACCATCCAAACCTTGCAGGATTTGGTTTCTCTGAGTGTTTTTACCTGAAATCTTCTATATCTTTATTGGATCACTCAGAAAACAGTCAGCCAATCAGAAGAGAGGCTCAGAGCCTCCTCTCTTCTGATTGGCTCACCGACCTGTTGTTACTAGAGCTCCAGAGAGAAGCCTGAGAGAGGAGATGTGAAACTACCCTGAGATGGTTTTTATATCTTCTGATGGATCAACACTTCAAATAAAACAAAATATATAACATAATAATTTAATATTATTAAATAAAACACTAGAAACGTGCAAAACAGGGACCTTTAATAACTTCCTTTAATAAAAAATCCACCTGTACTTTGTGCAGAGATCGTTTGGCCTCAAACTGATCGACTCCACAATCGTACAGTGCAGCAGGAAGTGTGATGAAGTGTTTTCATTATTTTGTCTCTGGCTGTAAAGTCCTGTTTGAACAGAGGAACATTAACTGAGATTAATAAGAGAAATATAAAAACTACAACTATGAACACAGTCAGAAACAGTCTGGACTCTGCAGGATGTCAGACACTAAAATCTGTAAAACCTGAATTAAAGCAGATTTTCCTTCACTGAACCTAAAACCTGAATCCTCTGCTGTGATATTTAAATGAACACACGTCTAAAATCAACTGCTGTGAATGAAAAGCTGAATGAATCCTCGGCGCCGCTTCGCTAAATCAGGAAGTGACAAATTGAAAAGCGGCGCTGCTGCTGATTTCAGCGGTTTTCTTTCTCCACTGTGAATGAGTTTGATGAAAGTCGGAGGACAGAGACACAGACAGCAGATAATTAAGAGGGAGGCGTTTAGTGGCTAATTACACAGAGACAGGATCAGCAGAGGGGGGAGAGTGATGGGGGGGGCAGAGAGAGGGAGAGAGAGACAGAGAGGGAGGGAGAGAGAGAGGGAGGAAGGTAGGAAGTAAAGAAAGAAAGGGGTGAAGAACAGGAAACAGAAAAGAAGGAAGTGAGGCAGCTGTAAAGTCTTTTAAGCAGCTGAAGCTCTGGTCTCCGACTCCTCTGAACCTCTTCATCTGAGTCAGGACCAGACCCAGACCCAGACCCACACCCAGATCCAGATCCAGACTCAGACCCAGACCCACACCCAGATCCAGATCCAGATCCTAGTCCTGATCCAGATCTTGATCCAGATCCAGACTCAGATCCAGATCCTGATCCACACCCAGATCCTAGTCCTGATCCAGATCTTGATCCAGATCCAGATCCAGACCCAGATACTGATTCTGATCCAGATATTGATCCAGATCCAGATCCAGACCCAGATTCAGATCCAGATCCAGATCCTGATCCACACCCAGATCCTAGTCCAGATCCAGATCTTGATCCAGATCCAGATGCAGACCCAGATACTGATTCTGATCCAGATTCTGATTCTGTCCTGATCCAGATCTTGATCCAGATCCAGATCCTGATCCACACCCAGATCCTAGTCCTGATCCAGATCTTGATCCAGATCCAGATCCAGATCCAGACCCGGATACTGATTCTGATCCTGATCCTGATCCTGATCCTGATCCAGACCCAGACCCAGACCCAGACCCAGACCCAGACCCAGACTCAGATCCAGACCCAGATCCTGATCCAGATCCGGATACTGATTCTGATCCAGATTCTGATCCTGATCCAGACCCAGACCCAGACCCAGACCCAGACCCAGACCAAGACTCAGATCCAGACCCAGATCCTGATCCGGATCCTGTTACAGATCCAGATCCAGACCCAGACCCAGATCCTGATCCTGATCCAGATACGGCTCTCCTGTGTCACATTCATCCATCCACCACCTCCTCCTCCTGATGTGGATTCTCCGTTCATCAGTTCATCATTTCATGCTGCGTTCCTATTGGTTGGTTTGTAGGTTGTAGGAGGAGCCACATTGTGAGACGGTCATCCTAAATTTGTGACCTTGACAGAATTTGTCCCAGGTTGTCTCTGGTCGCCTTCATCGCCATGGTTACTATAATAACAGTCATGGCTTGGTAAGGTTTAGAAAAAGATCGTGATTAAAATACGTACTTCCTCAACATTAGACAATCTCTGTTGTCATGGTTACAATAATGACAACAAACGGTCATGGATAATAGAAACAACACGGGAATCGAACACACCGCTCTCCTGTGTCACATTCATCCGTCCACCTCCTCCTGACGTGGACTCTGTCTCTCTTTATACTACGTCACCGACACTTTTCCCTGTCATCATCACGACGACCACTAGATGTCGCCTAGCAACAACACCTAACTATGATGTCATAATGACCTGCAGCATAGGTGACCTGTGGGCTCGTTTTTTCCAAACAGGAGGACGGTCTCAGTTATCAAATGTTAGCATGCTAACACCATAGACGCCTGTTCAACATCAGCATGTTAGCTTCGTCACTGTGAACACGTTAGCGTGAAAACTGTCTGTGAATCAAACCCTGTTTAACGTCTGTTTCGTAACTGTCTATTTCCTGGGTGGTGTGGGTCGTGACTGACCTGTGAGGATGTGTCTCACCTGCACCACTTTCCCCTGAGGGCTCTCGGAGAAGACCAGGACCTGGTTGTAGAGAGGATCCAGACTCTTCCTCACTGACTTGGTCTTCTTCTTGGCCACACACACGCCGTTCTCCAGGAGGTAAACTTTGATGTAGGCGGCTGGAACGACAGCAGACAGAAGGTCAATTTTCACGAGCTCGTTTGATCAGCTGAAAATACAGATTATTGATCATGACTTATCATTTTCTAGATTTGATTTCAGGTCCTGGAAGCAAAACAATATGACAGACTGAACACACACACTGTTGGTCCTGTATGTTAGAAGATTAAAGATTCAACTTTGTCTTCTCTGGTTTCATTTCATCTCTTCGTTTCACGTTCTGTTCATTCACATTAAACTCTTCTCTCTCTCTCTCTTTCTGCCTCCTGTTCTGTTCATCATCTTCTCTTCCTGTCTCTCCCGCATTGTTTTTTTTTTGTTGTTTCCTGTTTTGCTGACGCTGTTTTGTTCTTATGTAATTAGGATCAATGGCTGCTTTCATATTAATATTATGCAACAGAGTGAAGCTACAATCAGAGTTAATAGTTTGTTGTTGTTACACAATCAAACAAATTTAAAAACACAGTCACGTGATCGGGTCAGTTTCTGTTTCACAGACTGATTGATTTTCATTTCACATCCATATTTTATCTGTGGAGTCAGTGTCTTCTCAGATTTGTGTTTTTTTTTATTCTTTATTATTTATTCTTCCTTCACTCATTATTCCTGGTTTTGGAGGAACTGGATTTATATTGAAGTGTGTGTGTTTATGTGAAATCATTGTGTGTCTGATTTATTGCAATAAAATAATAGATCATTAAAACGACTCAAGGTCGTTTCTCTGGAGTTTCATCTGTGACGCAGACTGTAAATAAAGATGGACGACGCCTCTGTGACGTCGTGCTCTGCTTTCTGAAGCTCAGAGTGAGCTGCTCCACCGTTGCCATCTTGGCAGTGTCTGACTCCGCCTCTTAACTCCCAGCTAATCCAAATATGTGAAAGAGGAGGGGCGTGGGTGGAGCTGAGACTTTGATGCATGAGCATAGGTTTAAAATGTCCACTGCAGCCTGTAGCTGTTATTCACTGGCTCCTGGTGCATTCATGTGCTGTGGGAACTTCCATCGTTTTACTGACAGACCGGGGGGGGGGCTCAGACTGACCTGGAGGTCCCTTTGAACCTTGTTTCATGGTGAGTCCTCTGGCCTGGACGACCTCCACCTCCAGACCTCCGTTCCTCTCCAGCAGACCGATCTCTACGTCACCTGGACGGGACAGAGCACAGGTGCACTTCAACACTGACGCTTTTAAAAGATGATTTATCAATGAAGTAAATACACAGTGATGGAAAACATGTGAGACACTCTGAGTCTGAGTCCAGAACCAGAACTAGGTCAAGACTAAATCATTACATCATATCCTGTCACAGTTTCTCTCAGTCAGTTACTTCCTGGTTTTTCTCCCTGTGTTCCCTTGTGACTCCGCCCCTCCGGTTTGTCTGTGTTTGTGTGTAGGTGCTGTGGGTGGGGCTTCCTCTACCTGGCTCTGGAGAGTAACACACCTGCATCCCACTACCTCATCAGCCACAGGACAAACACTCCTCTCATCGTCAGATTGTTCCTCAGCGGTAACGAGCTCTCTTCCTGTTTCCTGTGTCTCAAGTATTTTCTAGTTTTATTTCTCCTGGTTCTCCTGTGAGTCTCAGGACTCCAGACCAGAACCCTCGTTCCCCAAACCCACCGTCCAGCTGTCTGCTTCATCCACCAGATCCCAATCCCCCTCCACAACCTCAAGTTCCTGGATCATCTCCTCCACGCCACGCCCTGCAACACCGTCACTACTCAACCCTCCAGCCACAATTCCCCATATTTCTCTCTTTTTCTTTACAAAGTTTTCTCATTAAATCCAGTTAAAAACCTGCATTTAGATCCAGAACTAAAAGTCAAACATCACAATGTTGAGATGGCAGAGACTTCAGTCCAAAGAAGCTGAAAGGAAGTGGCTCCAGAGACCACAGGAACAACGACCAGAACACAGAATAAACAGAGAAGCTGTTTTGAAACCTCCTTTAGCTTCATGAAGTGATGTCTAATACTTTCAGCCTCTTTTAGCTCATTGTTGTGACTTGACAGAGTCTTCACTGTGTGATTCAGTCACAGTTTCCTGATGGCTCCACACCAACTGCCCGGGAAACAACAGCAGCTGAAGAAATGAAGAGCTGATGGAGAATAAATTCAAACTCTGCGTTCAGTCGATGAGCAGAAACAAGATGACTGAATGTGTTTGCTCACGTTAGCTTGAACAGCTTTGTAAAGAGACGTCTTTAAAATCTGTATTTTTCAGGTTTAACAGTGAGAAATGAAACTTTTCTCATCCTCTCTCTGAAAGTCACAGTTTCAGTTCAACGTCCCAGAACAACAAACACGTTCCTCTGGAAGTGACAGAGCGCAGCTGACGGCCAAGTTATTCTGGGTCCTCTGACATTATGTAACGTTGGACTGGACAGCCGGTCTGCGGTGGAGCCGGTCCAGTTAGTGTCACTGTTGTCGTTCCAAGGACGCAGTCTGACTGCCAGAGAGGAAGCTGACCCACTTACGGCCCGTCAGAGCCGAGGAGGACGACCCAGTACACGCAGCCTGTTCAGGAGGACGCAGCAGCTCTCAGTGACGGGGAGAGAAACTGTTTCTTTCTTTTTCAACTTTCAAACACATTTTTTATTTTTCATTTCCTGTTTCAGGGACGTTTCACAAAGTCGCTGCTGGTTCTGACCCTCACATCTTCATCATTTACTTCTCAGGAATCATTTCCAACCTCTATATAAATCAATATATATATATATATATATATATATATATATTATTATTATTATTTGATTATCAACATAGTACTCTACAGGGCTTTGGGATGGATATATTTTGTAAAACAATACA